GGTGGAATTGGGATTAAGGAATGTATATTCGCTCATATGAATTCTCTGATGGTATCTGCCCTATTCTCCATTCCAGAATATTATAAAACATTATGAATTCAGCCTTCTTTGTAGCTTAGACAGTTGTGCGTAGAGGTAGTGTTTGCCTGGGACACTGTAGCAGACCTGAGTGCCTGGGACATTACTCTCCATTCCAGGATATTATAAAACATTATGAATTCAGCCTTTTTTGTAGCTTAGACAGTTGTGCGTAGGGGTAGTGTTTGCCTGGGACATCTGTAGCAGACCTGAGTGCCTGGGACATTTGTAATAGATCAAGAAACTGACCAAGCTTTGAGAACTAATGCTAGCACTTTATTATGTTGTATGTTTATGGTTTTAAATTCATGTTGGGGTTTTATCAGTTTTTGTATTGAATGAATTGTTTTATATTGTTGTAAGCTGCCCTGAGCAGGCTTTGCTGGGAGGGCGGGGTAAAAAATCTAATGAAGTAAGTAAATAAATAAATCAAATTACATTATTCAATTTATTTAATAAATCTGCTTTTGGCTTGAATTTTACAAGCTGTTTCACGTATTTATTTATTTATTTGCAAAATGCAGCTAAGAAACCTTAATAAATAAGATCAGAGCCTGTAATACCTTACAGCATTCTGGATTTAGGGGCACGGATTAAATTTGAGTCACGTGAGGTTTAGGTTGAGCATCCCCTGACCATAACATTTACAGCATAGTGTTTTTTAGAGACTTCAGTGAACTAATTCCTCTTCTTTCTGCTTCTTTTTTACAAACATTTTTTTAATAACTGACACTCAACTGCCCTTGTGCATTTTATGGTTTCTGGAGCTCTGTCATCTTTAGGCCTTCTTTTCTTTTTCCTTGATTCCAGCCTAATGTGCATCTGGTGTGGAGAAATCCCTTCTCTCTGTCCTATTGGTAGGCATAGAACTATCATGTCTGCTTTTAGAAGGAGTGATGATAACAAAAATGAAGAGATTAGATTAATACTTGCCTTAGGTACACCCAACACTAATGAGAGTCTGGACACAAAACTAGAACCTTCTGTTTATTGACTTTCTGCTTTTCTAGTCAAGGCTGACTTTTACATGTTTCTTTGAAATGGTACCTGCTATATCCATTTTTTCCTGTTCTACTTTCTGGGGTCTTTTCAGAGTCTATTTCATGTTAGTACTGTATCCCTATTTGTGAGGCTTCATTCTTTCGTGGTGTTTTTACAGTCTCTCCTTCAGTAGATAGTTAAAATTTGTCTTCCCATATTTTTGTTAAGATCTTGACTTTCAAAATATTATTTTCACATGAGTGAGCTGTTCTGTCAGTGATAAAATGCATGATTGTGTCTCGTGTTTATAAGCTTTTCTTTGCTTGTGTTGTAATCTTTCTGTTTCTTCTTTGTGAGCATTAAAATATTAATTTTGCATAGATGCTATCTTGTCCTTCACACTCTGCAGCTGAGTGTAGCATTTTAGCTCCTTTTCAACACATTTGTTTCCTAAATAATTATAGTTAGACCTTGATCTTTTGTAAGTGTCCTAGCACGCCTGTGCCTGGACTTCCCCCAGGAGATCATCCTCCGACTCTCCAACGCTCTGGCTCACACCCCCCAACTCACCAGGACATCAACTTCCCTCTTGGTCCAGGCCCCCAGCTTGCCCACTCCAGTGCAATGGGGACAGCCATAGCAGGGGAAGATGGCGGCAGCAAGTAACCTCTCCATGCCTTATCGTGCCTACCGGCGTTCCGTTGGCAGGCCCAGCTGAGCAAGGCCCCGACCCCGAGGAGGCTGAGCAGTGGCCTGGGGCAGTGCCCCAGCCAGGTGGGCCAGCAGAAAGTGGCAAGGCTCACTGAGAGCCCGAAGGACTGACAAGCCCGCAGTGGGCTAAGACACCCACCCTACCCTGCCCTGCAACAGAGCGGGGTGGTGGGGCCTGACAGCCTCTCCGGCCAGCATGGGAATCGCTGGCCGGCCCCATCCCAACTCCGGACAGGGCATGGAGGCTTAAATCTGGGGTTGGGGTCAGGCGGGGAGGAGAGAAGGAACTGGGAGTGGAGACAAGAATGGGCAGGGGGATAAAAGGAGGCCAGCCCAAGAAGTCAGGGAGGAGAAGGCTGGTGGCTTGACCAGAAGAGGAGGGGTTAGTGAAGTAAACCCCCCCCCCATGTTTCTGAGACACCGGGCAGCCTCAAAGGGAAAAGAAAGTCACAACAATGACTGGTGGGGGCCCACCAGGTGCGGAGGCAGGACTTGACAATAAGGTCAAAGGCACTTGGATAGCAAATGAATTCAAAATGTCTGTTGGTTTGATCTTGCTCATATGTATTGACTCCAGTATACACTTGTACACACATCAGGACCACTGAAATTAGCAAGCGTTTGAGCTCCTGTAATTATGCACTGGGTTATGATAACTAGTTTGAAATCAAGCATTATTAAAAGGTAATACATAATAGATCCTCAGGGGAACAAATTTGCCTTCACATAGTCTGTTAGATTAGCTCAGGGCACATTGTTCATTGCTTTCTAGGTGTCCGAAGAGTTGAAGAATATTCTTCAGCTACTTAGTCGTTAGCTTTTTTTTACTGGAGAGTGGGCAGAAGGCCCTTAAACATGACAGGACAGAGCACTGCTTGACAGCTTGGATGGATAATCAGGTAACAGGAGAGATCAAATTCTTTGGCACTTCCTGGACCATTCTTGATGTCTTCCTACTTCAGAATAAGTTCTGCATTGCTTCTGGTGACTGTTTCTTTCTTGTTTTAATAGTGGAAGACACTATGGATTATCTACTAGAATTGTCCACGGCTGCTAAGCGGGTAACGTCTTTGTCCGAAGTCTCAGGCTTTGATTCCATCTCTGCATCATTGTTTGTTGAAAATCAGCCAAGCATTGTGTCTAATGAAACAGAGGACCAGAGTTCTTCTGAAATAAAAACTGTGAAGTTAAATGAAGAATCGGAGGAGTTTTCATCATCGGGAGAACTGATTTATTTACTACGTAATTCTTTTGGGAAACATTATCTCAATAGTGAATCGAAGGATCTGAGGAATGACCAAGTCTCAGGTACTCGGTCTCCAGCTTTGGGCAACAGTAGTTCTAGCCGTGTTAAGACGTTATCTGAATGTGCAATGTCCAGCTTGGGTTATGATGCTGTACTTTCTTCCCAACAAATGGAAGCAGACAGTGAAAAAGCGGAGAACTTCCTACCTACTTTAAACCCCGATTACTATAGAATCTCTGAACCAGTTTTAGGAAAGTCCAGAGTTCAGGCAAACAACCCATTGGAGGACATGGCTATCTTTGCACAAATCCCAGAGAACTGTAGTTTGCCAGAAGTAGTACTAGACAGTAGTGCCGTTCCAGAAACCATTACACAAACCAGCGTGGAAATACCTTGTGCTAATCCGGATGAGATACAGAATGCTATACTGGACCACACCATGTTAAATGGCATGCCTACTCAGTTCTGCCAGGGAGTTGCTGAGCATGAAGTGACTGCTTTTGACAATTCTAGTTCCCATGGCACTAACAAAGAGAAAAATACAGCAGTTGTTTGTTATAATCCTAGAAATATTTCTGTTCCTGACTTGTGCCCAGCAGCCAGTTTTAAATTGGCCCCTCTTGTGAATGTTGACCAGTCTCAACAGGCATGGAATTCACATATTTCTGTTCTTCAGAAACACTGCCACGAGTCTACCTGGAATTTAATGGCTCCTGCCTTTTATCCACAAAGTTATAGCTTTGTAACTCCAGTTGCATTCAGCCCAGAACACTGGCGATCTACTTCAAATTACAGGACTTTTGGAAAAATAGATGCCCCGCAAGAATCTTCACAGTGCTGGGATATCTACTCTTCCTTGGTGAAGACCTTGGGAAATAAAAATGAGAGCCAAAAAACTAATCTGTCTCAAGTACATCAGCTTTCTGTTTCTCACATGAGAAGAAAGACACCATTTGTGGGTCATGTGCTTGTTCTTCTCAGAGGAGTTCCAGGATCTGGCAAATCATATTTAGCAAGGTAGGTTGTTCTGTTGATGATTATAGACTACCTGCAATAATCTTATTGTGGTATTTATGGAAGAAAAAGAATCCAGCCCATTTTGTATGGTGGCTCACAGGAGAAGACTATGAGAATACTACAAAGGTGCCCTAGACATAGAATATCTCAAAAAGGATGTTGCAGTGCTGGAAGAAGTACAGAAGTATAGAAGAGGTTGGAACACTTTGCCTGTGGTGAAAGGCTGAAGAGTCTGGGGCTTTTCAGTTTAGAATAAAGATAGCGGTGAATGTGATAGTTTATAAAACTATGCACGAGGTGGATGAAGAGGACTTTTTCTCCCTGTCCCATAATACTAGAACCCAGACACCCAGTGAAGTTGATGAGCAAATATGTTCAGGCTAGACAAAAATAAATAATTATTGAATGAATAGCTAAATTTTGGAATTCGCTGCCAGTAGATGTACTGATGGCCAGAAGCATTAGATGGCTTTAAAAGAGGGTTAGACAGACTCATGGAGGAAAGGTCCATTGGTAGCTACTAGCCATGTTGACTAAAGGGAACCTCCACACTTGGAAGCAGCAGATCTCTAGATTCCAGAGCTAGGAGGCAGCACCGGGGGAAGGCCTTGGCCTCTGTGTCCTGTTTAGCCTTCCAGGGTAACCAGTTGCCTGCTGTGTTGAGCAATATGCTAGACTACATGGATCACTGGTCTGATCCAGCAGGATTCTTCTAATTTCTTATTTGTCTGGCAAGGTCAGTATTGTCTATTTTGACTGGCAATGGCTCTCCAGAATCTTGCATTGAGGTTTCTCACATGAGCTATTATGAGGTCTCAGGTAGAGGTCTTTCACATCATTTATTACCTGATCCTTTTATCAAGGGATGCCAGGGACTGAACCTGGGACTTCTGCATGCAGAGCAAGTGTTCTATTACTGAGCCATGGCTCCTTACGTTATACCCTATTCCTACCTAGTGAAGAGTGTGGACTGCAGTGTTCCCTCTAAGCTGAGTTAGTGTGAGCCAGCTCACAGTTTTTTTAGCCTCCGGCTCACACATTTTTGTCTTAGCTCAGGAAGGATGGCTCCAGAGCAAACTAATTTATGCAGTAGCCAAATCGCTTGCGCACAACTGTAATGCCAGTAGCTCACAAAGTAGCATTTTTGCTCACAAGCCTCCACAGCTTAGAGGGAGCATTGGTGTGGAGATGAGTCTTTCATAAAGCATGTTTTTCTTGGTTTCTTAGGTAAATGTCTTTTTATAATAAATTTTAAATAGTTACACCCCATCTACTAAAATTAAGAATCACAGTTTTTAGTGAACCCCACCACATACTTGAAGGAAATTTTTAAAAGATGTACTGTATCCAGAAAGAATATTCACAAGATTAGAGACATAGTGCTGGCTTCCTGCAATAATGTGAGCCAGGCCAGGAACGGCATAGGGGGCGCTCTCAGAGTACGGAGTGAGTAAGACGAGAGCACCAACTCAAGAAGCGTAGTCAAGGTCCAGTCCAAGGTTAAGCACAGAGTCAAGAGTCTAGTCCAAGAGTCAGTCCATAAAGCAAGGTCTGAGAATCAGAGGGTTACTCATGAGTAGGTTCAGGAACAAGATGAGGGCAGAGTCAAGAAGTAGTTCAAAGAGTCACATGGTAGAGGCAGGATCCGATGCAGTGTTATTTACCTACGTACCTTTACCTATTTTGCTCTATGGAAGCTTCTGCCCCTCAATGACTTTTTTCTGTTCTCTTCCCCCATCTTCAACTTTCCCTCATTACCTTTTCTGCTCCTCCGCCTTTACTTTCCCATGCTCCTTCCTCTTACCTTTTTAGTCGTTTCTATCCCCCCTTCGCTGTTACCTTCCCACCGAAGTGGTACCTATTTATCTACTTGCAATTTCTTGCTTTCGAACTGCTAGGTTGGCAGGAGCTAGAACTAGAGACGGGAGCTCACTCCGTCATGCGGCACACTAGGGTCTCGAACTGCTGAACTACCGACCTTTTTTCCCCTGTGCTAGCAGTAATTGAAACTTGGAATTCTCTGGAATGGAGGCCTCAGGTTGCCTAGCATTGCTTCAGTGTTAGTATTGCTTCTGTGATTTGGGAGTTTTTCCAACACCTAGTGTACTTATTTTAACATTTGATATTTTTCAAAATTAGCTATACTGTTGTTGTATATGATAGCATCATGATAGAAAATAAAACTTCATGGCATGAAGGTTTGCGTCATTGACTCATTAGTATATTGCACATTTTGTTCTTTAAATGTTTTGGAGCAACATCGCTAAAAATACTGGTTTCTTTTCCTGATTTTTTTCACAGGTCTTTGCTTGAGGATAATCCTGGTGGAATTATTCTTAGTACAGATGACTATTTTTATACAAAAAGTGGACAATACCAGTTTAATCCTGATCGCTTATCAGAGGCACATGAATGGAACTGGAAACGTGGTAAGAGCCAGATATAGTAGAGTAACAATAAAGAGTACAGGAATCTAGGAACAGAGTAAAATTCCATGGAGTTCTTGTGCTACGATTGGAGCCGTCTTTCCAATATGTAGGTACATACTGGAAAAATAACTGGATGTTGGTCCTATAGAACAGTATTCATTCTCTAGTAACTCAAGCTAGTTGTCGCTGATTTTGTTACTGGAAAGCAACAATAAAAATACCAGAAAACTGCCAGAGGGTGAGAGAATAAATAGAGTACAAAAGTTTAATGTGTATTCTTAAACTATGAACCTGTATTCAAGGGTCCGTATACAAGCAGATATTTTTTTAAAAAAAACCAATGCATCAAAATGATACCATGGGTTGAGCATTAGGGGTGCGCACGAACCGGATCATGAACTAAAGTTCATGACAAATATTGGCCAGTTCATGGTTCGTGAACTGAAGTTCGTGGCAGGTCAACTGGCCCAAACTTTCCACAAACTTTCAAACTGTTTGTGGTGGTTTGTTTCCATCTGTGAAGGGATACATTTTCAGACAGTCTCCACTCAATCTAAATGTTTACCAAACTTTAAAGCAGCTACTCTTGTTAATTTCAAGAGGGTTTTCCCCCTCCCTTTTGCTGATGTTCCTTTGTGTTTCCTTCCCATTTTTTGCACAGAGCTTGCAAATCCCCCCCACCCGGCCTGGATTTGTTGTGACTCTATGCTTTGAGAGCAGTCCTTTTAAGCTCACAATGCCAGTGGTACTGGGGTCTGCTGGGTATTCTGCACATTGTAACTGGTTGTGCTGGGTTTGCAAAATCCCCCTTCTCCCACTTGGATTTCTTGTGACACTGTGTTTTGAAATTAGTCCTTTTACGCTTGCATTGCCACAGTGGCACCAGTTTCTGCTGGCCATTCTGTACTGGTTGTGCTGGGTTTGAAAAAAAAGTTGTCCCTCCCCCTTCAGTTTGTACTGCAGGGATTCTCTGGTTTGGCATTAGTGTCCTGTTGTTGGTTGTGCTGGGCTTGCAATCAAGGCTCCCTCTAAGCTGTGGAGCCTTGTCAGCCAAAATTCTACTTTGTGAGCCACCAGCATTAAAGTTGTGAGCAGGTGATTTGGCTGCTGCATAAATTAGTTTGCTCTGGAGCCCTCCTCCCTGAGCTAAGACAAAAAGGTGTGAGCCGGAGGCTAAAAAACCATGAGCTGGCTCACGCTAACTCATCTTAGAGGAAATATGCTTGCAAACCCCCCCCCCCCCCGGCTTGCTTGGATCGTGGTTCTGTACTTCACATCAGTCCTGTTGATCTGGCATTGCCACAATGGAACTAGATTCTGCTGGGCATTCTTTGATTACACTGGTATTGCTGGGCACTCTGTACATGGCACTGGTTCTGCTGGGCTTGCAAAAATGCCCCCCTTGTCAGTTTCTACTATGGAGATGCTCTGGCTTGCCTTTAGTCCTGTTGGGTTTGCACTAGGGATGCCATTCCCCAATCAGGGGCGGGGATTCTCTGCTTTGAGGACCCCTCCCCCACTTCGGAAGCATCGGACAGTGGGGGGAAATGGTGGAGGTCAGGTGACGCTCTAGAATTTCCTTCCTCCTAGTCTGGTAGACATAGAGACTAGGCTAGAGTGTCACAGCTGCCGGAGGCCTTGCAGTCTGCAGAGTTCCGTCTAACCTGCACAGTGCAGCAACTTTTAGGTCAGCCCAGAGGTTCATCTGCTTCTCCTGAGATGGCCTGGCCCCACCTACGGGTCGCTTCTCCTCCTCCTCTAGCTGACAATGGCAGCGGGGCTTGCATAGCTTTCGTTGCCTTCTCACAGCGGCAGCGGCTACATGCCTGCCCTCTCGCCCAGCAACCGCTGACATCTCTGCCTTCATGGGAGCACCCATTAGCCTGCCTTCCCAGAGGGAACACCAGCCAGGCAGCCCCCGCCATGCCTCTTGCAGCCCCACGGGGAGACTGCAAGCTGGAGAGCGAAAGGGGCTGCTTTTTGTAGAAATGCAACCCTTCCTTCCATGTCCTCTCTGCAAGCGATGAGAGGTGTAATCTAGTCGCTTGCAGAGAGACAGGGGGCTTTAGAAGTGATTTCAGCCAAAAGGGAAAACACCAATTCTACCACACAGCAGCCTGCAAGTCCTGGCGCTTGCCCTTTGCAAAGATGGCTGCCTTGGGTGCTGTGTTGAAGTATGGAGGAAAGCATGAAAGGTGGCGCTGTGCAGGGTGAATGGAGTCATGTGAAAGGCGGCAGGACGGCTGTTTTCCCGTGATAAGAGCTGAGGGGAGTTGGGAATGGAGTGGACTGTGGGAGAGTTGCCTGGAATTTGAGGGAGGGTGTGCTGCTTTGCAGTGAGGGGTGCCCCCCCCCAGTTATTTTTCATCAGGGGCAGCTCTGCAGGCTCCGTTGGGTGCCAAAGGCAGGCAGGAAGAGGGCTGGTATCTGAAGATGTGGTACCTGAAGGGGTAGAAAAGAGAAGTAGGAATCCCGTGGCACCCTAAAAGTCTAACAAGATTTTGTTAAACAGAAGGACTAAACGGTAGTCTGGAACTCACTTCTTGCAGCAGAATGAGGGTGGTGGGGATGTACTTCTGCAGCCGCTACAATTGGTTTCTGAACAGCTCTCTCCTGTAAAAAGCCCGGTTAAAGCAGGGAAATCGCTCCTCAGGGAGCAACTTTCTAGCCAGCCCTTTGCCTGCTGTGTTTCTATGTGTGGGCTATCTTTAAGAGAAGAGAGTGGTTTGAAAAATGTGCCCCTTCCCACAGTCTGAACAGCTGGGTCCTGAAACGTGGGAGAGGAACTGCATTGGCTGTACCTTTGCAGTCTCACAGCGTACTGTTCTGGCCTGGGAATGTCACAGTCTTTTAACGTCGTATTCCTAGTCCCACTGCATCCTTAAATGGCAGTGTTTGTTGCGCAGAGCGTGTGTAGTGGTCCCCAGACCAGTCTAAGCCAAGACAGCACCTTAGCAGACTTTCCAGCCTCCCAGCTCTTACCAGTTCTTTGCTGTTCTGTCCCTCTATAGTAACCACACTGCACAGTCCAGTGGTACACTATATACAAGGGTTTATTCACAGAATATACATAGACAAAATGCTTCGCCAGACACTTGTTACCTCCGAAGAGAGCGTACATGGCTTCTGTACAGACTTATATACACAGTAGCACCAATCAGCAACAAGCTGAGTCATGATGACTGCACACTGTCCAGTGCCAGCCATAACCGGTTTGAACAGGCTTATCAGTCCACCTGCTGACATGTAGCTGTCACTGAACTGTCAGTTAGATCCTAATGATCTTCCTGCTATCTGATTAACATACAACACTCCCCCTTAATCTGTAGTAGGAAGGATCATGTTGAGTCTCCCCCTAAGGTTTACAAACTGCATTTCATTTAAACCTTTGGTAAACATATCAGCGACATTTACAGTTGATTTACAATGTTTTATAGCAATCAATTTCCTCTGTACAATGTCTCTTACATTTTGATATCTAATGTTAATATGGCGAGACCTAGGTCTGATACCCTGAGCATCTGCCAACATTTCAGCTGCTGTATTGTCACAATACACAATCATAGGCATTTCATGTTGTACATTGAAATCCACCAATAATTGATTTAGCCATTCTAATTGTATGGCACAGTCATTCAAGGCCGCGTATTCGCTTTCACAGGTGCTGGTC